GGCCCGCCGGCCGCTCGCCCCTGCGGCCCCTTTCCGCCCCCCCCGCCCCCCAGCCAAGCCCCCTCCAGCCAGGCGCGGATGTTCCCCAACGGCCCTTACCTGCCCAACTGCCTAGAGAGCCAGCAAGCCATCCGCAATCAAGGTAAGGCCAGGCACCGGCTAGCTGAAGGAGGGGAGGGGGAGCCTGCGCTGTTTTCGGGACTCGCCGCTTTCACCTACCCAGGGGTCCCCCTCGCTTTCACGGCACCGCCAGCGCAATGGACAGGGAGGCTGGAGGAGGACCTTGGTGTTCACGAGCCCTCCACTGGACCAAGCGGTCCCTCGCAAGCTCCTGACCCGGGGCAACGTGGCAAGCCTGCAAGCCTCCGAAAAAACCTACAGGCTGATCCCGAGTATCACCGTTAGCAGGTTTTAATGTTTAAACCACAGCCGAAAAATCATTTATAAGAAAAGTAACCAAACAGTTATTAAAGGGGAAGGGATATCTTTCAAAGACGGCAAACTTGTTTAAGACCACCGCCATTAGCAACTCTAGCCACGAGAGACTGGACGTGTGCTAGGATGGCAGTTTGACTTCCGAATAAGGGGTGCAAAGGATTGCAATCATCCGAGACTAGGAATCAATCATTAGTCCTAAATATCCGTGTAGAAAATCGACTGGAGTTACTTTTTCAATGCACGCGCATAGGATTGCTAGGGTGTAAAATTAGCACCTCTGGAATGTTACATTTCAGAATACTGTATGGTTAAATCAATGTACGGATCTGAATGGGTTGCAGATAAATGCTTCAGTGTTGGTTTTGAACTAAGTGCATGTAGTAGATCAACATACTTCACGTGCCTTGAAAGTGAACCTGTAGATTAAAACTGTAAACTTGTGAGAATGCCCTATTGAACTTAATAAAGCTAGGTTCCAAATAAATGTATTCAGGGATGTGCCATTAGTTATGATTTTATATTGTATGTTCAAATAGAAATATACATTTTGCAGACTCTAGAATGAGCAGCTGTAAATTATAGCTTTAAATATATATATTTTAAATGCAGATATTTATGGATTAAATGGCTTGTGGGTTTGATCCTTCTAAATATAACTTCGAAGTCTTCCCATGGAGTTCCCTGATAAAGCTACTTGGAAAAAAGAGGGTTGAGGATCGCAAGAGCTTTTGCTGTTGGTGCAATCCATATTCATCCCAACGAGTGGAATTGTGGGGCATGGATTTACTTTATGGTCTCTCCTATACGGCAACACCCTTTTGTAATATTACGCTTACTGGATTTTCAAGCATTGAATGAATCATACGATTGCTCCACCTTCTCCTTTCATAGTGGTATATATATATGCTTCAGAGCGAAATTCAGCAAAACCTCAGGGAAAGAAAATCTAACACTTGTGGTTCTGAATTAACTGGGACTTGCTTCCTTTCAGAATTAAAATCAGGAATGTAATGTATATGTGATCCCATTAACGTTTATTTAAAAGTCCGTTGTCTTTCAATGGGAATATAAACAACACTAAGTCTAAATTAGCAGTCTGATTATTCTCACTTATCCAAGAAGAGAACCTATTGAATTAAATGCCCCAGATTTCTGCATTAAAGCACATGGGACTATGCACTCAGTGAGTTGTTATTACAACTTTAATGTGTATGGAATTCACTTTTAATAATTATTTCACATATGGGCTCTCCTGTTAGTTTCTATTTACTTGCTAATGCCTTTGTGAATTATACTTGGTTTTCTCTTGCAGACGTTTTTTTTAAAGCAAGCAGGTAGTTTGTTTATAACTGGACTGTCTGGGCAGATACAAAAAAAAAAAAAGCATTCTTGATGAATCCAGCATCTCAGTTAATGTTACTGCAACCAAACTGCTGGAATGATTTCTATCAATAGGAATAAAGAATTGATTCCCATGGAAATAATTTTTTAAAGTTATTGTGCATAGGTACTCATATATAAAAAATAGTGCCAAGTGGATATTGGTGGGGGTGGGAAAGATGAATAATTATGATCTAATATAGCTTTTTGTGCAGCAATATAAAGTGAAAGATCACAACCCTCATGAGATTATGTTATTACATTAGCTCATCTACATATTTTAGGAAGCTAAAACTGCACAAAGGGAATTATACTGAAGAGAGGAAGGGTAAGTGGTTCCCTGGTTATCATTTTTAACACAGAGAAGTTGCAAAAATGGCATGTCAGTTCTCTTTTATGAAATACTGTAATCTGGCTCCCTAAATCTGTTGAAATCAGTGAGAGCTATGCTGCAATCTGAGAGTGAATGCCATTGATTTCAGTGATTTCATGCTGGGTAGGTGTACATAAGAGTGCACTGCTACAGTTTCAGAATTCATTTATACGGTGCTCTGTATTTGGCACTTAGAATCTCCATGCGTTAAACAACTTTATGCAAAAACATGTGTTTCATTGACTGCAAGGGAAATTGCATCCAACAAGTATACTCAAGCTACATTCCTGTAAACACTGATTTGAGAGAAGTACCTTATTGAACAAATGGACATTGCTGGGTAAACACATGATGAAATATATTGCTGATTCCTATGGAATGGAAGCAACTTGACACAGCAAGTTTTGTGCTAAAACACTAGTTTTTATCTAGGTATCTTATGTGTGAATGGAAAAGGAATAATTTCTGTGAAATTCATGAAACCAGAATACAATTGGCCTTAACAAAAATCTTAGAAGTTAAAAACAAGGAACAAAAATTTTGATGGGGCTTGTGCAAAAGAATTACAATATCAGGAACTTATGACCTAAATTCTAGGCAATAGCTTACTTCAGTAGATGTATACACAGTATAATTAGCCAGAAAATAGTTAATTGTGATTTCCATAATTATTTGGAGTTAGTTTTGTAGTTTAGTCTGTTGCAGCAGTTACTGGTAGGTTCTGTAATGCTTTGGAGGAGTGTAATTGTGATGAACAGTTTAGAACAAGAGAGAGAATAATTCATTTCTAATAGCACATTTATTTTAATTATTCTTCAAGCTGTACATAATTTAATATTCTTCACATGATTTTCAATTCTTTAAAACGGTTTTTATCAAACTTTAATGACTCTACAAATAACTTCTATTGCATCTAAAAATAGTTAAGTGCTCAGTGTTTTTCAACACATTGACCTGTCTTACTCAGCATGTTAAGTTGTGGAGGCAATTTCTTTCACTATTTCAGGATATCATTCCATTCCCTAAATTGCTGTTCTCTTCTTGTTACCATTGATTTCTTGCATTTGGTTAATGTTTTAATTTTTTTAATCAACTCCACACTATTGGAATTCTGGAGTGTGACTACTGGACCCAGCTGATATTTAAAGCAATTAAACATCTTTACTCCGCATGATAGGATGATGAATAAAAATGCATGTGATGTTTTTATAATGTGTGACAGGAGGAGGGATCCCACTTCAATGAAATCAGCAGAACTGTCAAAACAACCTGAGTTGCAATGCTAACATTTTTGATATCACTAACTACCCTCCGAGTTTAATCTAATGGAGCCTTAGGGGTTTTCTCTTGTAAAATTCATCAGATTGCATGTGTGTGTGACACTCCCTCAGCTCTTCCATATCTATATTCATGCATGTATGCACACATAGCAAGAAGTGACGTATTGAAAATCTCCCATTTGCATAGGTGAGTGGGCACCTACATATGCAGAACTGGTTTGCATTTTATTACTTTATCAGATATGGATAAAAATTCTCACTCTACAACATTTTTTGTGTAACTGCGTCTCTTGATTATTCTAGTGATGGAGAAAGTAATAAAAAGAATAAAACTGAAAAATAAAGTTCTTTTAAAATAGCACCACTTAATTTAGAAAGATACTTTTTCTTGTACAAGCAACAATCTATACTAAATTTTTGTTTAAAAATAAAATCAGCTTAGTGCTGTTTAAAAACTACTAAGTAGAAGGTGGCCCAAAAGGCTATATATAATTCCATTCACAATAATTATTCAAGATATTTATTATCTGTATATTCTTAACACAAGACTTGGCAGTTGTGCCCAAAGTAGAACTTTAATCAGAAGGTTGAGAGACCATAGTTCTTTATGACACCATGGGTATGCTGATGGCATTTAAGACCTGGGACCTAACTTGATTTTATATTTGAAAACTCAGTCTTCTGTACTCACTCCAGAATAAAAGGGAAACCCCCCCCCCATGCTCTTGATTTTTAAAAGGATGGGTTGAGGAGTCTGGGCAGTTGACTTTAGAAGACCCTTTGGGTCCTCTTTTGGGTCCTCTTATGTGACAGGTCTAACCAAACACCAGAGATTTAGAGTTAGGTTGCAATTTCAGTCATTATAGGCTAAAAAAGTGAGAAGCCATTTTTTAATTACCACTTCAGAAGAACAGCAGTGGCTGAGAAGCAGGCATGATTTTAAAATTCATGAAAAATACCTTGGTATCCCAGAACAAAAACGGGGGAGTGTGGGGTGGGGGAGGAAGAGGGAAAGTATCCGGTGACAAATCCAACACTACACACACCACTTTATGGCTAAAAAGAATTTGGGGAAGTGGTCATGTTTGAGGGATGACTATAACGTTCTTTGCTTTGAGTCTATCAAGGTTGAATGTTCCGTTTGAGACGGGTTTTCTCACCATGGGAAAGACGTTACCTTGGCGTTTTTGCCAAGTCTTCGCCGGAAGAAAGAACTCTTCTGCTTTGAATTTTTTGCTGGGCCGCCTGCCCCCACCCTCTCCTTCCCCGCCACGCAGCTGGGTCCCCTAACAATTGTACCCCTTCAAAAGAGTTGCCTTCTTCGCCAGATGTCCACATTTCAATTATTTTCAGCACGTTTTAATCAGCTCAGCCTCTGATAAAGCCCTAATTAAAGAGACCTCGCTATCAGGGGGCTGGTTCAGAACTCCAACCTCCTTATCGCATTCTTGAAGCTTTGGGTCACGCAACACCGGAAAATGTGGCCAAAACACCATTCTGCTCCGGGCAGCGTTTTGAAGGCCACCGAACTGCTAGGCAGAGAATGCTCCAGATCTAGAGCGTCAATGCTTCAAAGAACATTGGAGAGAAAGGAGGAGGAGGAAAGCCTTGGCTTTGTGGGTTATGAGCTAAGATAAGGCAGCTTGGAGCAGCTGATGCCTGGAAGTGCAGGGGTTGGGCATCGGCCTGTCATCACTGTTCGCGGCCGAATAGACAAGGGACGCTAAGCGCCAGAACGCGTCAGGCACATGCGGCAGCTTTGAAGGCGCAGGCCGCGCCAGTTCCTAGTTGCCTGCCAAATGCATGGCGCGACGGCGGGTGGGAGGGGGAGAGAGAGAGAGAGAGAGAGAGAGACGGGGTGGGGGGAACAATCTACTGGACAAGGTGTCTTTCTGTCTCTTGCCCCCACCCCTTTACCTTCAAGTCAATGCACTGGAATCTCCATTCCATGGAGTGGGAGGGCAGAAGGACCTGAACTTTTCAAAAGCCGTTTAAGACTCTTTTCAATGGACCCGAGATAAGAAAGCAGCCCATTCGCCTTTTTGAACGGATGTGTTGTGACTTGAAACCTATTTCTGCCCAGGCTTTAGAAAGTTTTGTGCTACAGCTGCCCTATATGAGTGGGTTCAGGAGTAAGCCCCCTTCAGCACAGTGACTCTGGTTTTCTAGTGAAGGAAGAGGTCTGCAGATGAAAAGGCTGATCCCCACTTCCTGGAGAGTAAGGTCCCCTGAACTCGACAGAACAGACAAATTGAATTAAACTCTGTTCCCCCAAAGAGGTCAGGATAAATACACTTAAGATCACAGGTGTTGATTTGAAAATCAAATGGTGAAATATCTCTTTAAAAGTGAAGTGTGATTGTAAAGGTAGGATTCCTCAGAAACACCTTAAAACTGCTGAGGTTTTTAGGGGGTGATGAAACTGCAATATCTAGGTGACTCCCAGCTTTTAGACCAGGTCTTTGCATGAATTTGGAAAGACAGTAGGCTCCAGAGTCCAGGAGCCTTTAGCAGAAGAACTGAAAATTATGATCCAAGTAAACTTACCTGGAAAATAAATCCATTGAAACAGGAAGTTTTCTACATTCAATTTCCTTACATTTAGAAATATCTATATATTTGCAGTTAGATTCACTTCCATGTGTTGAAATCCATCCGGAGAGGCCCAGACTTGGGGAAGGCTGGTGTAGGCAAAAGGGTTTATAGATTTCAGACAATGGAATTCAGTAGGCTTTAATTTCAAAGAAGGAGGTAGTGGCTTGTTAGATTTCAGACTTCACCACTACTTCTGAATAAATAGATTAAAACATTTAGGAAGAGTGAACTTCTGAACTGAGAAGGTACGGCTCCCTCTTTCCGAGCCAATGCCCGGCACTGTCACCCAGGCTAAATGGCGACTCACCCAACAGAGGACAAAATGAGAATAAAACAAATATCGAAGCATTTCTATCCTTGCTGTCACCCACTTCAAGATGTGCAAGAGTTTCTTCACAGATTTTTGTTCATCTAACAAGGTTAAAGTAAAAATTTGTGTCCCCAAGATGAGAGTACTGTACTGCAGTGATGTAGGCTGTCCGCCTAGCCCATTTGTAAGAGTAAGTGGGAACGGCTGAATTCCACTATCGGCAGCCAGCACGGTTGATGAATTAGGAGCACAGGTTTACCTTGTCTTCTTCCAAACTCTTCTGTTGTTTTGAGTAGCTTGTGAACTGAGCCGCATCTTGTGGGCGGTCAGTGATGCATTTGTGTGAGTGATCTGCAATTTCCCCCCTTTCTCCCGTTTCTTTAGCTTCAGTTTTGTCACAGTCTGCTCTCGGTCCTGTGTAAAATCTGATCCCTTTTGAATGAAAGTTAACAGCTTTTTCGACATTAAGAGTTTGTCCGGAAAAGCAGGTCGTGAAGCGCTGCAGAAAAAGCACTTGCCGTCTTTTTCTCCAGCAAAGCTACGGCTTGCGGGTCCTCTGGAAAGCAACTTTGGTATTTGGAATGACCAAACCTGTTCTCTAAAGGGTAGTGAGTTTAAAAGAAACTAGTTCTAATTGAATGTTCCGGAAACCAAGCTCCCATAGAGTGATCATTTACTTTAAATTGCGTTTTGTGAGGGATTGGGAAAACAAGGGAAGATTTCATAGGGACTGCGCTAACATTCCACGGTCTTGGGGCAAATGCTGATGCGCTGAGAAGCCTTAAAGATAATATTACTTTGTAATTACTTTTTAGCCGAAGTTGTTTAACGGGCTCCACGTAATTAATGAAAGTTGGTGTCTAAACGTCTGATTTACGATTCCGTGTCACCCCGAGGTCACAATAGGCGATTCTTTTCCATCTGAATTCGCTCCTTTCTTTTTCTTTTTAAAATAAGCTGTTTATTATTATTTGAGCGAGTAATTTTCGGCTAAAGTAGGAGGTTATTTTTCATTTAATGGGCTGCCATTTTTATTGCAGACTCTTCAGAAAGTTAATCTTACAAAACAAGTGAGAAGCCAGAAAGAACAAGATTAAAGGATAACTTTAACATGTGGAATAGCAGACAAGTTTGTTCAACAGATGAGGACATTTTCTTATATATGGGGGACAATTAATGGAAACATCGCTTACTGGAGGAAACAGCCGACACAGGTGTTTAAAAGATAGCCAAACCCCGTTAAAGCATGGAGTCCAAAATTGAGAAAGTCCTTTGAGACTTCTTGCCCCAAAGTCTTACTGGCACTAAAAGTTTTAAGCACTGGAATCTACATCTAATATGCTCCGAGTTACAGATCCTCCAACTTCCCGCAGCTTCTGCAGCGGGAGCCTGAGGGAGTTCAACTTTTCTCAATTGCAGAGAGACATTTCATCGCTTTATAAAACGGGGGAAGAGACACAAACAAACCCCAATTCTGTATATGAGTAATACCTTTATTGGTACCAATCAGAACGTTAGAAAAGAGTGTGCACGTTTCCGACTTCTCCAGAATTTTTCACCGCAGGATAAAGAGTTTTGGAGAACTGGAAAATTTACACACCTTTTTCCTATCATTTTGGGTTGGTGTAATAAAAAGTAACCATATGTGGATTTTGACTTCACAGGTGGTTGTTTAAGGTAGCATAGATGAAGACAAGTAACTTGTTCTCTGCTCTGAATGGACATCTAAAATCAACTTTTATCTTTTTAATGGGCAGCAGCCCCTTCGCCCAGGCTGAGTTCAGTTGTAAAGGTAGGAGGCACTGCCGGAAAACGAGCCTGCCCTCGAATCAGCAAGAACCCCTGCCATCCATGGAGAGCGCCCCTTCCTTTCCTGGTCACCCAGCTCGGGTGATTCTGAGTTCACAGCTTTGGCCCTCTCTTTTTGCAAAAAGGAGCTATCTGCCGCTGCACAGAGCAGAGGCTTCCTATTTCTGACGCCTTCTTGCCTCCTGCCTGTCTGGGGGGACATTCTTGCAGGAAGAAAGTTCAAGGGCAGGCGATTCAGTCCCTGATTTCGACCCTGTTGTTCTTTTGGCAGGTTACGGCACAGTGGCGTTTGATGGAGCTCCAAGTTACGGCCATACTCCCTCTCACCCTGGGGCACAGTTTACAAACCACTCCTTCAAGCACGAGGACCCCATCGGCCAGCAGACGCCTTTAGGTAATGGTAGCGGAAAACATCTGTGCGAGGAACCAATCCCGCTGGGAGAGAGTGAAATTGCTTGCCCCACCCCCGGTCTAATATTGGGGCCGTGCCTGTACTAACAATAGAGAGGATTTGGCATGTCTGTGTGCCTAATCTGGCTCATCCTAATTGCAAAGAGTAGTCGGATAATTGGGAGGCTGGAGACAGAATGGATGGAACCTTGAGGCGTAAATAAAAGTGTAAGAACCACAAGCGGCTTTGTAACCTCTATGAGAATAACACCGCTTTGCCCCTCCATGCATCAGCAGTAACTTTGCTGCTACAGAACAGACCTTCCTCCAGCATAAACCAAAGGCAATCAAGTATAACCTTTGGGTTCTGTCCATATTTCTTCATTCACAGACAAGTCCAACTTTCCTCAATATGATTCCCTCCAGTTTTCTACATGATGTTTCAGCTCCCAGAATTCCCAGTCAGTACTGAAGAAGGTTGGCTGAGGATGACACTTGTTGTTGTTCTATATATAGAGGGCATTGGGATGGGAAGGCTGGATTAAATTAAGCCTGTGCAACCAAGCTATTCTGTACCCAACTCTAAGACATGTACCACTGTATTCTAAACTTTGTAACACACTTATCTGGTACCATGCTTTTGTGAACCTCTGTTTACTTCAGGGTGAATCTATTTAAGATTGACCCTGGTAAGCAGTAAATTTTAATGAAATCACTGATGATGTCCACAAAAAGTCTTTAGGGTTTCTAACTTCTAGATTTAGAAAACTCAAAATTATGTTGGAATCCTGTTGGTTCTAACATTGTTACTTTATTATTGTAATTATTTTTTTATTATCCACCCTTTCTACTGTAAGGCACATGAGAATAATGTTATTTTTATGTCACTGCTAAATAATTAGGGCACAACCCTAAAAGTTAAACATCAGTTTTAAGTACCATTGAAGGCAAATGTGACTTCAGTGGTATGTTAGCTCACACACTCAGTTAAAGGAGTTTTTGGGGTTTGCAGGATGCACTGAACCATGTGCTAACTATATTGGGGCTGGCTGTGTTCACACAGCACACTGGGTAAAACATTGTAGTTTGTTATTCAATGTGTTGTGAAAACCCAACCCCGGTGAGCAGTGCATTTACTATGCTTGGTGCTCAGGACTTCTTCCAAAGGAAAGTTCTTTCAGAGCTTGAAACTGCTTTGGGGCAGCTTTATAAAGTTGGTTACAAATATCACTGCATCCATATTAAAAATGGGAAATAAGTGTTTGGGGAATTCAAAACTGGGCTGAAATCTGAAGCAAGGCTTACTTGTCAAACAGCTCTTAAATCACCCATTATGTTCTGTCAAACTTTTTAATGTGACCTCCCCACAAATGAATGCTACAACTGAATTATAAGAAAGATTTGCTAGTCTAGCGAGGGCTCCTTGCCCCAGTCGATTACCCTTTAAAATGCAGCTTGGGAGTGTCTACAGAACATCGCCCCCCAACTTGTGACATTAATCAGTCATGCTGCAGGATTGTGAATTTTTTATGGTTTGTCTGCAGGTGACCAACAGTATTCGGTGCCTCCCCCAGTGTACGGCTGCCACACTCCCACAGACAGTTGCTCCGGCAGCCAGGCTCTTCTCCTGAGGAACCCTTACAACAGGTGCGAATCTTTACTGTGTCCTCCAGCCTCTTTTGCCTCCTGAAGCTTGGCAAATCAGCTTTTGAGGTTGGCTCCAATCCTTCTCTGAACTGAAGAGCTCCTCCTTCTCTTCTTCCTCCTGCTTTCCACCTGACTTTATTCCACCTCTGAGAATAGGGCGTACCATGTCATCACCCCTAGTTCTCTTTGAGGAGAAGTAATTAAGATCTAAATGCAAAGAAGAAGGAAGGAAGGAAGGAAGGAAGGAAGGAAGGAAGGAAGGAAGGAAGGAAGGAAGGAAGGAAGGAAGGA